GCGCTGTTAGTGGCAGCTGTTAGCTGTGATTGCATTACCTTACTCCTTCAGCAGCTCTTTCCACCCAGGGAAAGGCTACCCTGATGTTGACCCTCATTTTCAGAATTCCCCAGTCACGTTGCCTTTTTGATTCCCTTGTGAACTTTCTTGGCGACGAAGATTCTGTCTCCCGTAATGCTGCATATGCATGATCCTGCATTATGCTCAAACGGTGGGACTTTGTTTAAAATTTGCCAGGGTAGTAGCAAAGCGCCCCTTGCTCCTCAATCACGCAGCGCTGGCCTGGCTCTCAATGAAAACGCCGAAGGTGGGGCTGTATGTCCCTTGCTGGCAGGTGTATTCTCAAGATGGAGAAATGTTATGGAACCCCCCCAGACGACTTACCCGCACAATGTACAAACAAATCCGAAATTCTCCTTTTACGAGAATATGTCAGATTATTGGTGGAGATAATAGTACACCAATGATGACATTTTTATGAATGCAGACATCAATTTTTGCCAATAAACAACTGAAAATGTCACACAATGTCCCTTTAACTAGTTTTATGTGATTTTAAGCTTCTAAGGCTTTACCATAAATACATTGGGGAAGTCACTGCAACTGAGTGGTGGTGAAAAAGTCACATCACGTGTGTTGATGATTTTTGGAATTGTAAAGTTTTCAGGCAGAGAACTCAGCTGGAATTCATTGCTCCTGTTCATTGCACCTCCTCTGAGCTCATCTCAGTTCTTACGCTGTGACTGTTACAAGATTCCTGTCACACAGCCACCAGGATGAGGAGAGTCTCCAGGGTGGAGGATGAAGCCGTGATGTTATCAGAGAGACAGGTTGACAGTGCCAGAGACTGGTATATTGACCGCGTAATCCCTGACAATAGACTTTGCCTTGATCTGGCATTGACACAGATTTACAGGTAATTACTGCTCCTCACCCAGACACAGAGAGACCAAAGGAAGAGAGACAGACATAACCCAGCCAGGCTACAGTTCCACTGTCTCTCATCAGAGTGGCAGCTGTGTGCACTTCCTCTCAGACACATGGCACAAGGGTCAAGCTTCCTGTTCCCACTGTAAGTTACCGGTTTCATGTGTCACTCTCTTCCGAATGACTGTGGAGATTTCAAAAAGGTCCAGTTGCATCTCTGTATGCAGTGGTCTACAGCCACAAAATACAGTGCTACCCGTGCTAAAATTCTACCCAAAGTTGTATTTTCTGTCCTTACAATTCTGACTGTGCCCTTGCAGGGGAAGGAAACTGTGTTGACCTAATGTTTCTCTGCTCTTGCTTAGAAGCTGTCCTGCAGCGTAATAAAGTGCACGGCACAGTTTTACATTTTTGTGTAAGAAAATGGAAGTTATATGGTTGAAAAAATGCAGTGGGAAAGGAAAGAGCTGTCTGACGGCAAGATTAAGCAGTGAAAATATTTTCATTATAATGTCCATATGTCTGATATTGATTTTTGTAGGTAGGCTTTTTTAAAGTATCTAAAACATGTTTTGCTGTTGACCCTAATCCACAGCAATGCAAAGCTGAGCTTCTGGGGTGTTAGTCTCCTCTGCTTCTGCAAACTGGGAGCATGCTGACATTTACTGTATGTAATACATATCAACTATAGAAGTATCTCATACAGCCCCATTTCAAAGAACCTGAACTATTCCTTTACCATGTATGGTCATTCAACAGAAAGCAGCATTTTGAAAGGTTAAAGGTGCCACAATTTTATTTAATTTTTCTAATTGTCAGCAATTCCTATGAAGAGACCAAAACCTACTATCACAACACTTACTAGCTTCCTGTCTGTGGCTATCAGCCCCAAGCCCATTGGTTCCTATCAGTGTTGGGGGTAATGTGTTACAAAAGTAATGTGTTATGGTGATATATTACGTTTTAGCAGTAACAAAGAAATATAACTCCTTATCAACAGGATTTGGGTAATATTATTACAATTACATTGTCATGTAACATGTTACCACCCAAAACAAAGTGTTTATTGTTTTCAGTTTTCATTTATCCACACTGATCCACACCGCTCCACTTCCGCCAGCCACCAGAAAAAAAATATCCCCAAAGGTTGTTTGTGTATTATAATTTCATAAAAGGATAAATAAATAAAAGGGTGATCTACACATCTGGGTGATGTTGTACTGTGCATTATCATGTTTAATGTGTTTCCATTCATATACCTACAATATCTACAACATAGGCCTATGCCATTTTGTTTTTGTCCCAAGGCCCCTTGAGAATTAGGGGATAAGTAGTCTGGCTGCAGTGTGTCTTTTCCTTGTCCTGGTGATCGACACATCTAGGCACAGGCTGTTTTCACTCATTTTTCCTATGTTTTCCTATGAAGAGTAATGCACCCAAAGTCATACATTTCCCACATATTTTGAAAGGCTGCAATCACATGACCAATGCACTGATGGCAGTAAACAAGGAGTCAGTCCCAAGCGCTTGTAAGGAGTCAGATCGGGGTGGTGGAAGGGTCACAAAACAACAGACTTGCTCGGTTTTTCTCCTGGAGTTGCATGTCCGGATCTGTCTGAACTCTGACGCAACGTAAAAGTCGTAGGATATCATACGAACTGTTGGGCATGCATTTTTCATGGGATATCATATAAAATGTTCTACGAAAATACGTTGCTGGGTGATACCTTCAAACGTCTGTTAGCATATTGAATGTTTTCCATTCATATCCCCTATATCAGCAACACCAGCACACCGTTCTGTTCATAACTCTGTCTTTGGTGCTGCTGCTGACTGGCACACTGGGAATCAACAGTTACTTTTGGACAAAGGTAACTAGTAATATGTAACATATTACATTTAGAGAGTAGTTTGCCCAACATTGTTCTCTGCAGAGTTTTATGAATGAGCCCCCTGGTCACTGCAGTTTTTTGCAAATGTTACTATTTTATTTTATCTAGCCTATTCTTATTGAGTACACTGTAGCACTGAAGGAGTATTGTATATGAGGATGGTGATAATGTACTCTACCTTAAATCTTGCACCTGTACTATTTTCAGCAGTGGATTAATCCACATCCAGTGCTCTTGTGTTAAGCTTAATACAAAACGACTGGAATCACAATGCAGATCCAGACAAAAAAGGTTTAATATAAAGGCACAAAAAACAGTTCAGGGGCAGAATTGTATGGAAGTATTTCTGTGCCATCTGAGTTTGAATATGAATTTCTAAGATTGAATTTTTTCAGCATCAAAATCAGACTTTGAATTTTAAAAACCATCAAATTTCTAGCACTGAATTTTTTTTTGCCTCTGAATTTTTTGTTTTTTGTTTGAATTTTATTTTGTTGAAATAAATTCAGTGTAAAAAAAAATCGTTGTCTCAAAATATTCAGTTTTTCAAAATTCAACATGTAAAGAAATTCAACACCCCAAAAAAATTCAGTGTAAAAAAATCAACATCTCAAAAAAATTCAGTGTAAAAAAAAATTCAATTTCTAAAAAAAATTCAGTGTAAAAAAATTCAACGTCAAAAAATTCAGTGTAAAAAAAGTCAACATCAAAAAATTCAGTCTAAAAAAATTCAACGTCAAAAAATTCAGTGTAAAAAGAACCAGACTCAACATCCGGGTCACCAGGGAGAAGCAATCGATCCCTGTCTCAATTCAGCCAACGTCCAGCCAATCATGTTACGCTCCATTGGTCATGTGACACCCACCGGTCATGGCCACAAATGCAGGTGATGGTGCTTCAGTGAGTCTATTTACTTTATTTGCCATTTGTGTTAAAAATTTAAAATAAATTTAGTAATAGATATTACTCGACATGTTGCACATTAACCGGATTTATTGAACAATATCTACAATGAACTTTTAATGAGGTGGCGTTCGTGAAAACTGCGTAAGTAACTAGCTAATGGTATGTGAGCTAGGCTACTTTCGGTTCTGAGGCAGCGAGTATGACGACTGACAGTACATTAAACCGTGATAGTGTTAACTGGTGACACAGTGTTTCCCACAGGATTTTAGGAGACGGGGGGTAATTTTAACACTGTACAATTACCGCGATATAGCGCATTTACCATTTATTAGCGGCCTGTCTGTGCGTGTGTGTGTACGTGCGGTGCGACCGCACGCGAGAGAGACGGCAGGTGGAGGGGCTGACTGGCAGAGATGATAGATGGTGAAACGCAGTTTATTTTTTTTTTCTGTTGGGAAACACTGGGTGACAGCATATCGTGGTTGCTCTAAGTTAGTGATGGCAGCTGTTGACAAACGGCTACAAGCAACAAACCAGTCTATACCCACCAGTCCTCCCATTAGCTGGCCTACTCTCCTTGCTTTACCTGTATTTGGCCCAGCCTGCTTACCAGAAGCTGCATTCATCAGCTCCTCTTTGACTCAACCAGCCCGAACCGTGGGTGTTGATACTCGGACCCGACGTCTTGGACCTCCCCGCTCCGGTAGCTCACCTGATAGAGCCGGTATCACCAGGGCTTCATGCTTAGGCTATAGGTTGATTTTCTACTGCATTATTATTTAATTCCATAGGTTTTTGTTTTTATTTTATGTTTGTACTGTTGAAAGTTGAACATTGATTATTTTAGGCATAATCAAGCATGTTGAAAAAGCCTATCTGAATTTGTGTCTTTACCTATTGAGGGATATTATTTTATTGTGTAACTTGTATAAAATCGTTGTGTAATCCATAAAGAGGAGGCATTCCTTAAGTGTCCTCTTTTTTGGAAATCAAAATATGGTCACCTTAATTAAAGTCCATTAACATTTAGCTGTTTAACATGATCTTTGTGCTGCTGGTTTGTAATACCAAACCAGTCTATACCCACCAGTCCTCCCATTAGCTGGCCTACTCTCCTTGCTTTACCTGTATTTGGCCCAGCCTGCTTACCAGAAGCCGCATTCATCAGCTCCTCTTTGACTGAACGATCCCATTTCCCATATTTTTCCATACTTCTTACTAAAATGAAACATAGTTAATTTCTGAGTATTTATTCTTTGGACTGCGCTCCTTAAACAACTGTTATAGACCACTGTGGCCAGCTGCATCCCAGAATTACTATGTTTCCATTCGCTCGTCTATTTTTTCTCATTAGTTATTGTTTTCATACAGGCTGGGGTTGTCACAAGAACCGATACTTTGGTACCAAGTAGATGTCGAGACGCAAAAAATTCGTTGGTACCTGCATTTTCGGTACCGTGATTACCGGATATACAACTTTACCCTCTCCGCGCCTCGTCGAGTCCTGTCAGGACTTACACGGGCAGTACACGCGCGCGAGTCGGTGCGGCTACAATCGAGCTCGCAGTCCGTTTATGTGAACACGGAGTTTAACCTGAGTTTATTGTGCAATCATTTTAATGCAGGCATTGGATTTTGAACTATTCAAGTATCTGATGAAGCTGTTGTTATTACAAATTGCACTTTTCAAACATCAGCTGTTACAGTCATGGATTTGCTTTTCTATTGTTAATTTTCTATTTTGTTTTTCTCTCCTAGGAACAACTGCTTAATCATCTTTTAGAAAGACTTCGCTCTCGATTGGAACATATTGTGGAACGCATGCCTCTGGACCTGGACTTCTTAGAGTTCACTTGCACACAAGAACTTGTGTTCTTAAATGCTGTATCCAGTCAAGTGACTGTTTGTCAAGCTATTTTAGATGCACTGACACAGCTACACAGTCTCATCAATTTGGAAAAAGACAAAAGGGAGCAACACATTGCAGTTGTGCAGTTTGAGCAAGGACCAGCAGGGCGACAGCGGATGACCATATCCCCAGACTACCTTAGCAAACTTCTGGAACTTAATTTGTCTGTTCCATGTATTGCTAAACTCTTGGGGGTGTCCAGACGTACAGTATACCGACGCATGGCTGAGTCTGATCTCTCAGTAAAGGCACTCTACAGCCCAATGACAGATGATGAGTTAGATCAGTGTGTGAGAGAGATTAAATCTAGGCAGCCTAACTCTGGATATCGGATGATGAAGGGCCTCCTGCAAGCCAGAGGACTGAGGGTGCAGTATAACCGTGTCAGAGCCTCCATGCACCGTGTTGACACCATTGGTGTCATAAACCGAATGGTCCATGTTGGGTGTCTAGCTAGACGGACCTATTCAGTACCCGGACCCCAGGCTTTGTGGCACATTGATACGAACCATAAATTGATTCGGTAAATTCATATTTAGCAATCTTTTTCACGAAATGTCTGAGTTTCAAGGGTGTTTTTTAAAGTACATAGTTGTTATTAGGGCTGCAACTAACAATTATTTTCATTATCGGTTAATTTGGTGATTATTGTAACGATTAATCAATTAGTTGTTTGGTCAATAAAATTGAAAAAATGTTGAAAAATGTCAATCAGTGTTTCCCAAACCACAAGATGATGTTGTCAAAGTCTTGTTTTGTCCACAAACCAAAGAAATATTCAGTTTATTGTCATAAAGGAACAAAGAAACCAGAAATATTCAGATTTAACAAGCTTAAATCAGAGAATTTTGACTTTTTTTCTTAAAAAAACTACTCAAACCGATTATTTGAATCAAATCGAAATAGTTGACGAGTAATTTAATAATTTATTATTGTTTGATTAATCAATTAATTGTTGCAGCTCTTGTTAGCAGTATCCACACATTTTTATACTGCTTCTGTTACTATATATGCGCCATAACAGCTAACCTCTCATAATGGCATACACTTTGACTATTACATTCAGCAACTGTGTGTTGAACCTTTTTTTTCTTTCTTTTATTTAACTTGCAGTATGTTGTGTGCAGTTGACAAATTCATTTTTCACTCTTTCAGCTACAACATTGTTGTCTTCGGAGGCATTGATGGTTTTTCTCGTAAGGTTAGCACAATTGTTTGGACAAAGTGCACATATTTCTATAATTATTAAATACTTGAGTGCCCCATAGATATGTAATTTTATTTGTGCTGCAGATAATGTATCTTGGTGCAGCCTCAAACAACATGGCCTCAACCACCCTGGCATTCTTCCAGGAATCTGTCGACAAGTTTGGTGTTCCTCTCAGGTGAATGAATATTATAAACTAGGATATTTTACACTATAACAGTACTAACTGTATAACTATGTGTATGGAAAATGAGTTGTATGGTGGGAAAAATACCAGGTCAAAGATAAACACTGTTCATAACACTTATGTGGCTATATAAAACCTATATGTATTATCCCTGTTTCCTACCTTTTAGTTAGAGAGACTTTACCATGATGTACTATTATTTGTCACATTTGCATATGGTGCAATAACATGCAGTATGCATGAAACAAGATCTAATTCTAAATATAGGCAAGGCAATTTTATTTGTATAGCCCGTTTTTACAAACAGTTTGTCTCAAAGGGCTTTACATGGCATCATAACAACATCCTCTTCCCTTAGACCCTCACATCCACTGAGGAAAAACTCCAGGAAAATCCTTTTAACAGGGAAAAATTGGAGAAACCTCAGGGTGAGCAACAGAGGAGGGATCCCTCACCCAGGACGGGCAGACGTGCAATAGATGTATACAGACAAGAAAACAGTTTATAACACAGAATGTGGGAAACATGGAAATGTTAACAAGAGCTGATGAAGGCAGCTTCTGGTGGGAGGAGAGGAGAGGAGTCTGGACTTAGATGTAGTTAGAGTGTCTGCCTCTCTGACCCATGGAGAGAGCTGGTTCCACAGTAAAGGTGCCCTGTAACTGAAGGCTCTACCTCCCAGTCTGTTTTTAGAGATACTGGGAGTCACTAACAGACCTGCATTCTGGGAGCGGAGTGCTCTGGTGGGACAGTAAGAATAATGAGGTCTTTCAGATAGGATGGAGCTTTGTCATTAAGAGCCTTATAAGTCAGCAGAAGTGGGTAGTGGGCTATGCATAAATACAAAATAAAGAAGAAATTCAAAGACTAAGTTTCAGCTATTAAATAGGTTGGATATTTTACATTTTAATTGTTGGTCACTCATTGTGGATTATTTAACAAATTGTAAATATTAATATTTTTTTGTATTAAAATTAAGGATTGAGCGGCTGTGGAGAGACCTGTGGGTAGCTGTTAATTGCATCTACTACGATGTCCTGCACTACCTTGAAGAAGAGGGCTTCCTGAGCATCGCCAATCCAACACACCTCTTCTGCTGCCACTTTGTTTTCTTACCACGCCTGCAGGATGACTTGGATACATTTCGGAATGGTTGGGACAACCATCCGCTCAGAACGGAAAGCAACATGACCCCCAACCAGCTGTGGGAGCTGGGTCATAGACACTACCCAGTTCAAAGACCAGATAACGCAGAGGTACATGAATCATTTGGTTTTCATGTGTAAGCTGTTGAATTTGAAGTATTTTAAAGTGTGCCTACTGTCACTGCATACAATTTAAAATGCTCTCTATTTGTAGGGCATGGGTATTCCTGACATTGAGTGGGAAAACAGTGGATTTCCTTGTGAAGACCACTTCAGCGTCGTCGTTCCACACACAGCATGCCCACTGACCGACAACTGACAGCTTTTAGAGCTGCAGTTCAGCCAAGAGCTGCATCCCAGTCCTACGGCAGCGATATTTACATTGCTGCTGTTCAGTTTTGTGAGCAGTTTCTTGATCTCTGAATAGAACTGATCAGATAAGACTTCAGTTTTGAGTTATGTGTTGATATTTTAATGTTTTCGCAAATTTTCGTTCCCTTCAGTTCTATCAGTGAAAAGTACAAGTGCACTTTAAACTCTTGCATTAATGGTTTATTAAAGCGCAGAAATTGTTACAAGGAATACATTAAGCTGTCAATCATAAAATGCATGTAACTTAACATACCGCATTTTCTTATGAAAACTGAGGTTGAGATGTAATGTAATGTAATAATAACAATGTAATGTAGCAAAGCACAAAATTGTGAAAATAAAATCAGTGTAAGTCCACCTTGACAACTTGAATATTTTTTACAACATCAGATGTGTCGAACCAGAGTAAGGATGGCAAGGAATCTCCCACATGGTCTGAAATCTGCGGGTTACAGTTCTACAAATACAACAACTCCATACTGTCAGATGAATCTCAACACTTGACAGCTAACAAGCATAAAAACATCAACATTTTACCTAAACAATCTTAACTGACAAGTGTAAATACAGGTTGAGATGTCACTCAGACAAGACTAAATACTTTACATTTTTCTATGAAAACTGAGCTTGAGATGTTTTGTAACGATGCGAAGAAATTGCAACTGTGTAACACTGAAAATAAAATAAGTATAAGTCCACCTTTTAACAACTTGAATATTTTCAACATCAGGTGTGTCAAACCAGAGTAAGGACAGCAAGGAATCTCCAGTACATGGTCTGAAATATGTGTGTTACAGTTGAAGTTACAGTTCTACAAATACAACAACTCCATACTGTCAGATGAACCTGAACACTTGACAGCTAACAAGCATAAAACATCAACAAATTACTTTAACAATCTTATCTGACATGTGTACAGGTCCAGATGCCACTCAGACAAGACCAAATCCTGTATGGCAAGTGCTAATGCATGCCAGGATGTCACGTTTAAAAGATGTGTAGTTCTTGTAATGCCCTGGGATGCTCAAGGTCTCAAAGCAGGTGGAGGCTGTGAGGTATCTGCTCTCGACGACTTCGACAGAGAGACTTGGTGGTAGAACCTCCCATCCGGTCCAGAATTTGACCAGGTTGGTCAGTTCAGTTGGTGTTGCTATGGAGTAGATTCAAATGGATGATGATTAGTCATCAGGATAAATAGCCAACTATGGCACTAACAGTTCACACGGAATAGAAGATTAGTCAAGCCCTTGAGACAAGTAAACCTACCTTCACCTATGAACTGTCTTAGATACCCTGACATGCGGCATGTTGTTTCAACTGAACAATCGTCATCATCGCTGCCACCCTCAGGAGGCCATGTGATACGCTGAAGAAGGACCTGCATTGAAAAAATAGCATGAGAAAGACTTGGATAATTTTTTATTGTATTGCAGACAGTAATAGATGCTGACCAGGTATGAACCATAATATTTACTACAAATGCAATGCTACAAGATCAGAGTTATTCAAATTAACCTCAGCGCTGACATTCCCTGCCGTGTCTTTAGGAAAAAGCAAGGCCACTGTGTCAGGTCTTTGGGTCACCAGTGTCCACATTGGGGTTTCTTTAATGCCTCGTCTCAGCTGCTTAATTTGCCTCATAACACGACCTAGTACCTGTTAATAGTAATAAGACAGAGAGAATATAACCCATAAAATTCATTTATGTAAAAGTAGGCTTGAAGAGTAAATTATGAAAAGAATACTTTCATTTAAATACACTTATTATGCTGCATTCCACTGGTGAATGAGGAAATAATCATACTGTTGTCCTGCACACTTGCAGTATTATAGACCACCCACTAAACCTGGGAATCAAATTTATCAGGAGAAAGTGCCACATTTTAATTTCTTCAGACAATTTTTTTTTTAACCGTAGCAATGTGCATTTATAACCAATACATCACCCACAGGATAAAAAAATCCAAAATACATTAATTGTGACTTGTGTTTTTAAACAGACATTTCTCAAACTTTTACTCACTGCATGTATCAACAGCTTTTCAAACAGCCACCTCCTGTTGTTGTCAGTTAGGGAAGGGAGGTCCCACGCATAGGCCAAGTCCTGGACACTTTGTTTATCCTTATCGGACAGTATGGATCCCCCTTCAAGCTTCAAGACAATAAGTCATATAAATTTCATTCATAAGGGACAATGGATACACAATAAAAGGGCGGCCCATTGTACTTAACATATTACTGAAAGAAAAAACTTTTTTTTAATCAAACATACAATCCTGATGGTTTCTCTAATGTCCAGATCTGGACAGTCCTCCAGTGTCACTGTTGCAGTGTCAGGACTTCCACCAAACAAGACATGAATAACAGCAGGGCTGAGTCCCTGTAGGCGTGGTCCTCCATGAAGAAAGGAGAGGCCTATCATTCAACCCGCCACCATGAACATGTCACTTTCCACAAGAAAGTGAGAGGCTGAGGGAACTAAATGGCCCGGCTGTCCTTCAAAAAGCCCAGTAAGACTTGAATTTGCTGTCAAGATATCAAAAATTTGAATTAAGAACAACAAAGAAATAGGCCTCATTCCAGAGTCAGAGATATTATCAATACAGGCATTATACATTTAGAAGAACCCTTTGAACTTTCAGGATAAAGCAAAATACCATAAACCTTTATGGACAGAATAATTAAAAAAAAGGTAATACAGCTTGCATTTGGAAGGATTCTATTACATACATACCAAAATTGATGCAAAAGCCTGACCTCAGCTTCTCCATGCATGTGGAGAAAAAAAAACGAGTTACACCATGTCCAATAGCAGTATCTCCTGTAACACAGTGTTAAGTTTGACAGAATAAAGACAGAGTAAATACTTAAGTTAGTTTTGGACAACTGTGACTTGTAATTGGAGCTACCTTCAAGTCTGCAATTCAGGGGTCGTCCCCATTCCACATTAGGTTGTTTATAGAAGGAGACAAGTGCCATGTCCTGCTCAGCAGGGCTTTTTCTGATGTCCATGCTGAGAAGTAAGGGACTCTTTGTTTCATGAATACGTCGAAAACTGTCAGCACACTGAGATGTGGCCTTGGTGGGGTCACTGACAGTTAACCAGCCTAATATGAATAAAAAATAGAAATGTGTTTGTTTAATTATCTATGGCTAACTGTAAAGATAGCAAAAAATAACCATTCAGTCAAACTGTGTATCTTTCCCTATGCCACTGCTAAGCATGAACAGCACCTACCATCTTGAACAGCTGCAGAACTTGTGGATGGCCCAGGCCTTGCTGCTTGCTCTTCCTCAATTACAATGCTTTCATGCATCACCTCATTTCCTGCCCTACCCTCATAAAAGTATTTGTGTTACAACTGCACAGTATGTAAAACAAAGACCATTGCTGATTAGAGGAAAAAAAAACATTAACAATAAAAAGTTAATGGATACCTTTCCACACATGACGAAGCATGTACCTCGATGGAGTCAGCAGGAAACATATTTTTGCAGACAGGACATTCCTGCATGTCTGCTGTTGAGAGGTTACCGGTAAAAATAGTGTTATTTTCAAAAAACTGTTATTAAATACTACACAATATACTTGCAAAAGCAGATTATATTATATTATACTTCTTACAGTCTCTCTCTTCAGGCTCACTGATATCCACATTAGCCAGGTTGTCGTCACTGTCAACATCTATGACGTTACAAGATTTGATGTGTTCTGTCAGGAGCGGAAGGGGAACTGCAACTTCACACTTCTGACATGCAGCTTTTGGCATGTTACTGAATGCTTCATCAGTCAATGGTAGGGGATTTGTACTTAGTTCCTCTTGAATTGGGGCAATGAATAGATTTTTAGCCCCACGAGTTACAGACTTCAACATCATGCCTGTATAGCCGGTATCATCGGGAGTCACAAGAGACAGCTGTCGGCTACCCCATCCACCTATAGAAAAGAGGAGAGGAAAATGAGAACTTTCAACAGTTTATTAGATAGATTACATTTAGAAGTTAAGTCAAAGCAACTAGACTTCTTGTCTGACAACAGACCAAGCTAAAGAAGTCACTTAAAGCAAAATAAGTTATGTTTGTTTGTTTTTTACTTTTACAAATACAATTTCTACTTTGCAGTGGCTGGTTTGCAGGTAGGCATGTAAAATATTTAAAAGTCTTATTTAAGTACCATAAAGTAACAGTGTTGTGCACTGCATAATGTGAAGTTAACTGCTGCATATGTACTTTTTTTTTTTAATGACAGAGCAACACTAACACACAAACTTATGTTGGCCCACCTGAAGATTTGTATAGTAGCCATCCACCGGTAATTGTTCCTAATTTTGGGAATAAAACTTTGAGGGCATCACATAACTGTGACAAAAAAATGGAAACAACTGTAATCTTCTCCAAATAGAGCGTCAAAAACTACTCATCATTCAAATCAGAAATGGCATTAATGACACAGCGTTACAAACTAGCAAATCATTGTAACTTCATAGCCTGAATACAATATACAATACAACTGGCCCAAATAACTAATTGTATGTTATCACCTCTTCATGTGTTGTGCTTTCATCTTGATGAGCAGTCCTACGGCCCAGTCCTGCACGCATATGGACTAATTGCTCCTGCTCTTTTGGGGTTTTTTCACATTGCTTTGGCAACAAATAGAAAGCCACATCCAATGGTTTAGGCCTCTTGGCAGGAACAGGACTTGCTGCTGGAAAGTGCCTCTTCCCTCTGCCCCTGCTGAAAATACCTGGAAAGGACCTATAGAAAATTTAAAAAATAAATAAAACATGAACAACCTCATCTGTTTTTTGTAATTACATTAGAAAAGCACCTTTATTATTATCAAATCATTGAGATTGTTTTCATTTAATAAACAAATTTAACATTAGCCTTAAAGCTTCAGTTGGTAACAATTATTCAGTCATATTTGCTGGAACTGTCACTATATTCTGATAGTCGTACATTGAATGAGTAATTTAAGACAAAATCCAACTCCTCTGGCTCCACCTACAGCCTGTAATCATATTTGCTGAAATCTACTGCGACTGAAGCTTCTCCACCAGTCAGGTAGAGGGAGTAGGAGGAGCAGCCAATCGCAGCTCGTACACATCGTAGTGAGCTGACGAAAGTGAAAGTAAACTCCGCGACTTGGTCGGACATTTCAAGACAACACACTATCAGGTCAATCAATCAATCAATCAATTTTATTTATAAAGCCCAATATCACAAATCACAATTTGCCTCACAGGGCTTTACAGCATACGACATCCCTCTGTCCTTATGACCCTCGCAGCGGATAAGGAAAAACATGATACACAACACACGACACGATGGTCCACACCAATCATCCCCGGTCATCTTTCACGACATGTGTGATGTCATCGGGTTATTCTTAGCCTATCTTTATTACTTTTACCATTATTTCAGTCACTGTGTCTGTTCATGTGCTAGCCGAAATGTTATTGTAGTAACGTAAAAGAGTGCCAGCAGATGGCAGGAGCTACATTTAAAGTACTGTACGAAAACATATAAGTCACTGAATCCTCCACGAGTTCCTGCAAATCTTTCACAATAAAAGCCTATTTAGAAAATGAAGGGATTCTCTCAACCAAAGTTATAAGGGGCTTTTAATTTGAAACAGATACAAGAATGCTGAGTTTGAAATGACAGTGTGATGCATTAACTTTATCAAGGCAAATGGGAGTGGATGAAAAGTAAAAATATAAAAATACAGAGTGAATAATAAGTAACGGCACATTTATAATGTAGTCTGTTTCAAATGAAGCTGGTACTCTCTGCAGTTGTGGTGAGTAAAAGTTATTACTCTATGTCCATCTCCATTATGAAGAAATAACATTCTTTGCTAGCTTGATGCTAATGGCAGTACTCACTGGGTTGCTAAAATGCCTCTAGTGATTCATGCCAGCATTTTTCCCTTTTTATTCTGTGTGGTAACATCCCTAGAGGAAATATCCTAAACTCTGGGGTGTTGTTGTCGTACAGTTGTCTACAGCAGCAGATCGCTCTTTGTTCCTATTGGTCAAAGTGACGGCTGTGACGGGAGCAGTCCTGAACGAAAAAAAAGAAAATAAAACATGCTAGACTTTCTGTTGGAACGTCGTGAGGCGTCCCAGACGTCGGTTGTTGTCTACTATGACACACTAAATGAGATGAAACGATCGATTATCATGTACAACACGATCCATGCCAACACCGTACATTGCTGCGTCGGGCTAGAATCGGGCTGATATTGTGTAGTGTGTACCAGGCATTAAACTGATAGAACTGCCACCTTGCCTGATGCATCTTGATTTCTGCTGCCACATGGGGATGGTAATTAGAATTTGGTGGGAGCTACGGTAGTATAAATAGTATGACAAAATCTCCTCCACACTTTTGAGTTGAAGTGATTGCAGGGTTTAAATGCAAGACCTACCTGACCAGTCTACCCATCTTTAAGGGCAACAAATCACTAGTGATACACTGTTTTGGAAATTCTGAGGTGGTACCGATGTTTAAAACAACAGTTTAGCAGATGCTGATAGCAGTGTTTTTTGGTTGTTGTTTCTTTTGTTTTTGTTGTTTTTTAATCCCCCCCTTTGTGCCAGGGAAACAAAGAAATCTTAATTATACAACAAAACAAAACTGAACTGTTTGTCATTCAGCCCCCCATGACACTATTTTTGAATGAGCACAAATTCTACCCTACAAATTTATAGCCCCTTTTACACTGCCTTGTCAAGGCAGGAATTTCATACTGTTATGATGCCTCACTGTTCTGTATGCAAGGTACAGTTGCAAAATGGGGAGACAAAGTTGTCTTGCCTTCATGCCAGCAGCAGAGGTAGTAACAACACTGAAATGATGTCTGAAAAAAGGGACTAACCTAAAAGGGACAGCCAGCAGGACGGGACCATGGATAGGATGAGTGTTACGTTTTGAAAACTTTCTGTTTGATTCACTGTTGGAGATATAAAAAGCACCTGGTAGCAGCTAGCAGCTAACTCGAAGAACAACATTGGCTGAAAATGTCCCCCTTACTAGGGATAGGCAAAGGATCAAAATTCATTATTCAATCATCAAAAAAATTAACGATCAATTATCAATTAATTGATAAGTGAGTATTTCAAAAGAGAGAAAACAAAAGAGTGCAGTGCAGACTGTCGCCGCAAGAGAGCGCAGTTGCCCCAGTTTGAGCTTCAGTCCCCCAGGCCAAAGAGGAAGAATGGCGCGCATGCACAGTTCACCCCTGGGTGTTTACAACCATTGCCAGCCAGGGGTTACAGGCATCAGTTTCCAGCGAAACCTCCGTCTTTCAATGGCGTAGTGTTTTCAGAGGCCTCAAGGGAAGCCGCTGAGGCTTTGGAGAGCAGTGAGAGCCTCCGTCTGTTTATGATTTTTTAGCCTTTCATAGGTCCGGCGGGGGGTCTCGTAGGCACGGCGGCCCGCCGGGCCTGTAGCATTGTAGGGGAAACACTGCAACTATCGAGCAAAATGATTTGTGATCGATGAAAATCCTTAACAGTCAATCATCGATAATCAAAAATTGATGCCCATCCCTAGTCCTTACCCTCCGAGCAAAGGATGAGATCAGCCACCATTTAACAGGGACAGTAAATGATCATTATTGCCATGTTAATGCAATTGTTATTTACATTTACAAAGTGCTGCTGACATGTATGCTATATGTCACATTAGAGGCTGACGCTGTTGCATTACATGTCATGCCCATCTCACCTCTTTTGCTTTCTTGATGCCTGCATGCTGTCAAAAAATACTCACTGGAGAGTAATGATACTGCCGTTGTGTGACGACAAACTTTTATTTTCAATGATTAATATATAAAAATAAGAGGAGGTAGGACCAGAAAAGTTTTTAAAGTCTTCTTACTCCTTTTTTGAATGTTATTATTTGAGTTGCTGTGCGGTCAAGACCTAGTTTGGCATATCATTAAGTTCAGTCAGACTAATAATCATAGCCATCAAGAACTGATGTGGTTATAATGTCAGTCTAGTTGGTGATAACGGGGGAGTGGCGGACGACTCCGGGGTTTTTTCGGACCTAATTGTATTCCAGAGTTTTGCACACCGGCGACCAGATCTTTGCTCTCAAACCACAAAAAAATGTAATGGCACAACAGTCTCCTTCAGTACATTATTTTATACTTTCTTTTGATTTTCACATTGGCTAGTCATCCTGTTTAAGTTGTCTTCTGATTAAATCGGAACCGTTGAAACAAGTTGTAGGAAGCCTCTGCAAGTAATTGGTTGCTGGCAGACACTCTGTGCTGCAATAAAATGGTTAGTCAGCAGTGCCGTGCACTGTAGAGCCGATACGCTGCTGGTTCTGCCGGCCTGAATAGAATATAATGTCTATAGCCTACTGTTGTGTACAGCCTTTATAGACTGAGCTGAGTAGTAATGCGCGGGTCGACCCGTAACCTGCGGGACCCGCAAATGGACCTGCGGGTCGGGCAGCAGTGATCATCTGTTAAATNTTCAGTGCTAGAAATTTGATGGTTTTTAAAATTCAAAGTCTGATTTTGATGCTGAAAAATTTCAATCTTAGAAATTCATATTCAAACTCAGATGGCACAGAAATACTTCCATAGAATTGGGCCCATGGAGGGGAACATGGGCAAGGCAGTCCGAGAGAGGAGGGGAACAAAAACTGGGGCTGAGGCATGAGGCTGAGTGTTGCTGGCTGGCTGGAGGAGTGAAAATGGCAGGGCACTGAAAAAAGACAAAAAAACAAAAACAGGTTAGCAAGGCAGCAGTACAAGATCCGTGAACCAAGAGCAAAATCCAAAGGTCAAAAACAGGGTCAAAAACCAGTGAGCAAAAAACACAAGTTGATAGCAAGGAATGGAGCCTAGTAGTTACCACAAGGGTTTCAACAACAAACTGGCAAAGAATGGAGAGGAGAACCAGGCTTTTATGCTGCAGTGATTGGAGTTGATGTGGAACAGGTGTGCTGATGACGGAGGCAGAGCAGGGGCCTGTATCACGAAGCAGGATTAATGTCTTAGCGAGGTAACTTAAGGGTTAACCCTGGGTTTTCGGTCTCACGAAGCCGGTTCAGTTCTTATCGGGGTAGATCACCATGGTAACTTACTCTGAACGGCTATCCTGCTCCGGAGCAGGGTAAGTTCAGGGTTGAATCTGATCCTATAAAAAGCACCACCCACTGGCCAATCAGCTGTTTGGAAAAAAAGACTCCGCTGACAGAAATGCAGCCCAGTCATGATGGGAAGTTTAATTCATTTGATTGATTTTGACTTGAAAGTTTATTTTGAACATTAAAAAAGAAAAGAAAGCAACAACAACAGACAATGAAAAGATTGTTCAAAAAGGAGTGGAAAGAAGTCGAAAATTTCATCCCACCCCGTCATAAGAAAGAAACTGATCATTTGCGGACACTTAATAGCACCATTAATTAGTGCCAACATTTTGTTTTGTTGGAGGAAATGATCCCTGTTAAAGATAATGGGCCTAATTGACAGCTTTGCTGCTGGAAATGTGGAAAGTAGCCTATCATGTCTACACTTCATGGTGTTTGAGGGATTTTCCTTTTTGTTTTTTAAAGAGGGAGACTAGGTGTATTTTTGCACAGCTGTTAATTTCTAACACAGCTCAATATCAGGATGATTTTATTCAGACTATCAATTTGGTGTTGATATGATTTAATTGTGGCGTCAGCTTTAAGCTTTATTGTAGCATATATAACGTTATGACA